ACAACGCGGACCAAAAGTCCAAAACAATTACGGAAACAAATAAAATTCAGTATCAAAGACACACCACGTATCAAACACACAACTCACACACACATTGGGGGGAGGGGTTTTGGTTTGGTTCAAGTGACTTATTTCTATTGCATGAAAGTAAATGGACTTTGAATTTAAATGAGAATAGCAGAGATGAATTATCAAATTGTGAAATTAAAATGTAACAAACACTAGGGTTTCGGAATCCACCCTAAACAATTCTACCAATGTTCATGAATACTCAAGTGATGAACTCTAAATGTGTTGATGAAGATGTTCGCAATCAAGACCATGGGTCGTGGCTCAAGACGCATTGATTCTCTCTAATATACGTAAAGTGCATGGTTCGTGCTACAATACTTGTGCCCTCCCCATAACCGAACCTAGGTATGGTTCGTACTTCGATTCAATTACAAGGAGAACCCATTAAGTTCAAAGAGAATATGAACATCACAAGAATCCTAATAGCATGGTGTTTACATTAGGTATTCAAGAAACCAATTCACATGGATGATTCTTACTTCATCCATTTATTGCTTAGGATAACATGAAGATACACATAATCCCAACAATCTCAAGAAGCATGCTTTCAAAGATGGCCAACCAAGGAAAAACACACATCAAGGATAGATTAATTTGGTGAATTGGAATTCATCAACAATGTCTAGAAATTCATACACTCAAGCATCAAAACAATAAGGTAATCATGTTTAGGGCTTCAACCTAAGCCCTAGCTATGGAGTTTAGTTCCTCATAATCATTTCAAACACAAATTCGAAATATAACTAGAAAGAGTTTACAGATTTTGTAAGTGATGGAAGCTCAAGGTCTTCAATGGTGGAAGTCTTCCTTTTCCTCCTGCTTGGCTGCACCTCTCCTTGCTTAGCTCCCAGCTCCAAAACCTGCTCTCAATGTGTAGAATCCCTGAATGAATTTCTTCTCCACGTTCAAAACCTCTCTCCCTTCAGATTGCACTCCCTTTGCTCCTTGTCCCATCATTTCCAGCTCACACTTTTAATATAAAACTCATTCTTTCCTCTAAAGCCTTTGCCCTTGTCCCCTTTGTCATGATGAAGCCTTGACTTCACAAAGATGCCAAATGCTTCAGAAAATATCTCTTTTACAAAGGTAATTCCTTGTTACCAAGAGTTATGGTAACAAGAAATTAAGATGACACAAAGGAGGTGAAAGCT